ATCAACGCTGCTGTCAATACATTCTTCAAAAAATGCCTCTCTGTGCAAAATGGGTTTAAAAACATAAACAACTGTGGGACACTGTTTGTCCGTGATTTGAACTGGGGGAACAAATTGTGGCAGGGTCAGTGTTGTGCCAAGGTAGGTATCACCGACAAAATGTATTCCCCCTGTGTCGCGAGCATTCACTCGGCACGCAGTGCGGATCCAGTTTACTCCGCCTCCATTACAGACTATTAGACGTGGAAGTAGTGATGTTTTAGTTTTATGAAAAAGTAAAAAATGAGTGTCGTTACATTACCATTCAGTTTGGGGGTTACGGCAGAAAATGATATATTTATTGTTCTCATGTGGGATTAACAAACGAAGGACATTTTGCCTGATAATTATTTATATCCTCCTGTAACTTTACTGTATAAAGAGCTAAAACCTCCAAAGTTTCAGGAGTAGTTAGTCATTATAGTGTTTGTGAACTAAAAATCAAGAATGTGGGATACTGTTTGTCTGTGATTTGGAGAGCCCAGCGTGTGCTCCCGACACAGAAACTAATTCTGTCGGGGAGACCTACCTTGGTTTGACAGCTGTTGTGCAGGTGAAGTCAAAGGTAAGATATGCTTCATCATATGTTTGTGTTTGGCTTAGAAGGAAGTTGGTTTGGAAGCATATTTGGTGATGCTTCATCTTCTGCTTTGCATTTGTGTGGGAGCCCCGTCAAAAAAACCTGCCTAATTTACTAACAGTGTCCACTCTTCTTTTTCACAAAAATTCATACCGCACCCCCCATGCAATGTGGCACGTTCCCCACTTTGGGAACCACTGAGCTAAAAGATCGAACCGATATATATAATAGACACACCGGTCCACTGTGTCCATTTCACGCTTTGCCTCTACAAAACATGAAACGGACGCGTCCATACAGAAGTTGCATTATCAGCAGGGCGAGGACAAATGAAGTACATTAGTCCTTAATCACCAGAAACAGTTAAACTAGGCAGGTAATATAATATGTGTGTGTGTAAATGTGTTAATAACTTCTGTTTAAAGACTTTTCCGTAATTGTTTTAATGTCAGTGCGCCCCAGGGTGGCTGTGGCTACAATGTAGCTGCCATCACCAGTGTGTGAATGTGTGTGTGAATGGGTGGATGACTGGATGTGTAAAGCACTTTGGGGTCCTTAGGGACTAGTAAAGCACTATACAA